AAGTTTGTCAATTAATTGTGAATTGTTTTAAGCTGTTTGAAGTTCCATGCGCAAAATACATTAGGCAATAAAACTTTTTTATTAACATTAAAAAATGTCTGATACTTCTAAACGGGTTTCACTTAATCTCTTAACAAAATCTAAAAACTCTAACTAAATCTATTCGGTAATAGTCTTAATTACTGTTATTCAGAACACACCAATTAAGTCCATGAGAAATTTATAGTTGAGTTCAGCATTTTGCTTGCGTTTTGTAGTTGCTAAGCTGGCTATACATTTTTGATGCGCACCAGTCCCATTAAAAGTGACATTCCGTTCGTTCAATTAATTTTTAGCTTATTTAATAAAAATGTAGTTACTATACTAAGTTTACTTAAAATTTACATGAGCTTGATGAATGGTTAAATATTATTTTGATATATTTAAATAATCTTTATTTCCTACAGAAAAAGGCTATCGACCCAATCGGTCTTTCTGCCCTATTATTATTTTGAATTATGGCTCGATTACACTTCTAAGTTCAACTTATACTTTGTAGATGTCACGTTGTTTATTAAAAAACTTCTTTAAATCTTTTTTCTGTAATAGTTGCGCTTATCAAACCTAGGCACAGTTAAAGAAAGAGAAAAATCGTACCCAAAATCAATTTTATTGCAGTTGAAAAAACTTATCAAAATTTGCATGGGTGCCAAGCATTGTCCGTTTTCAACTTGAAATAATTCGCCTGCTCGGCTGAATACACGAGGGACGATCTACGATCAAGCGGCCATCTCGGGCAAATTATGATCGAATTCGGTTTCAAAGCCTAACCAACACAACCCTCAATTTTAATGCGATTTAGGGTTGAGATGTCCCCTTTGTCCGTAATTAATGTATCGTGCTGTCACATATTTGCCCCGCGGTTGTAAATTTACGCTGTATTGATCTCATAAATGCTAAGTGGAATTTGGCTCGTCCTCAACGAATATTTCATACTCGAATGTACCACACATTTGGAATCAAACCGTTCGATTTCATTGTAAGAGTCTATTCTGCTCTTTGATAAACGCAATTGATCATAACTGAGAATTGGAAGCTTTAAGCTGAATTAGTTCTCTGGGTTATTAGAACTTACTCGAAACATACGGGAAAACTAAAGGCCAACAAAACAGAAAGCATGAATAAATTTTCGAAAATAAAACTGTTCAAAAGAAAGGAAAGCATGTGATTATGCATATTATTGGTGATCGCATCGCTTTCTGGAATTTTTTCATTGATATTTTTATGCTTTTGCTACAAAGATCATTTTATACGAATAAGCCAATTTCAGAAAAGCATTTTCCTACTCTCACTATTTTCAATGAAAACCTGAATTGGACATTGCGAAAAAGCAAACGAATAAAATTTGAGTTTAAATATATGAAGTTTACCGGTCGTGACTGCTCTTTTATGGGGATGGTTCAAATTTATTCTCTAATTTAAAACTTTTCAGTGCAACCTCGCGCAATATTCGGGTCATAATTTACAAAATAACAGTTATAAAACTAGTTCTGACTTTTCTCATTTTTACGTTAACTTTGTTTCAAATCTGCATTCTGGCGTTATGCGGTCATATGAACAAACCTAATTGAATTGAATTAAACAATCAACAGTGAAAGCAAGTCGAAATTTGTAATATTTGCGGTGTAATATTTTTTAGCTGAGAAAACCGTGTTTTCCACGATTGAATTTCAAGTAACACTTGAATGAACATTGCAGGATCACCTACAGATTTGATAAAAAAAAACAAGAAAAATTCTTAAAAATTTGTTGGCAAAATATTATGTTTTGACGGTAATTAATCTGTACAAGTGTGAGTTTTTGAGCAGTTCTGATCAACCTACGATATTTTTCTTATTGTTGACTCAACCACTTTATATATTTTTCCATTTAGCTAAAAAAACAGGCATGTAAAATGTTAGTTTTTAACTAAAAATTTCATAATTGTGGAGGTCGATTTTTGCAAAAGTTATACTTTAGGTCTGCATATTTGAGAGCCCGCTACGTGGAAGAACATCTATTGAGCTGAAAAAACACGCATGTAAAATTTTAATTTTTGACCAAAAACTGATAGATACCGATTTTTTCCAAAGATATCAAATCCCTCAAAACTCCTTGAATTTTATATAAGATTTATCCAAAAGCAGCGAGAACTAATTGAAAAACTCACTAGAAACTGGAGATCCGAAATAATAGACATTTTGAGCTCATTTTTAGCAGATTTTGTGCTTTTGATTTTTGCGCAAGCTTTAACCGACTCGACATATTGGAAAGCTCGTTACTTCGGAAACAATCCATTGATCTGAAAAATCAGGCATCTAAAATGTTTAGTTTGGACCAAAAATTTCATAAGAGTCTCAGATCGAAGTCGCTCAAAACGATTCAAATTTGAAATCATTTTCGGCAAAATGAAGCCAGACATTCAAAAGTTCAATGAAAATCACGATAGAAACTTTAGGCGGAAATAATCGACATTTTAGGCTATTTTTTTAATCAATTTTTGAGAGATTTCGAACTTTAACTGACAATATTTTTAGGAGAGCTTCTGGATAGCTTATAAGGTCATAAACAATCCATTGAGCTGAAAAAACACGCTTTATACAGGCATATGAACAAAACTAATTGAATTATATTAGTGATTCAAACAGTCAACAGTGAAAGCAAGTTGAAATTTGCCAATATTTTCGATTCAATATTTTTTAGTTGAGAAAACCGTGTTTGCAACAAGTGGATTTCCACTATTACTTATAAATATTGCATTATCACCTACAGATTTGAGAAAAAACTGAATGCCTCTTAAACATTTATTGACAAAATATTATACGGCAATTAATCTGTACAAATGTGAAAAAGTAGTTGGTCCAACAACGATTTTTGGAAAATTCGTAATGATTGCAAGTGAAGCAAGTGAACGAAACGTCACAATTTTATTGAATAACCTGCAAAATTACCAGATTTCATGTTGCTTTAACTTTTCTATGGGGCAAATTCAGCAAATACTGTTTAAATTAAAATGAACGTACAGGCAAATAATAAAACAGCGATCAAAATGAGTTTTTTACAAGTCATTTAAGTCATAACGTAATGTAGATTAAAGCTACCTGGGGAAAATAGTGTGATCATTTAAAAGAATTTTTAATATTAAATATATATCATAAATTAATTTTTCGTTGACAAGATCCATCGACATCAATCATCATTAATAATATATTTTCTTTGTAAAAAAGTAAAAAAGTTTATGTAGGGTGCAGCGCTTGCAGCATCAGTGAGGATCCAGTGCCTCCAAACGTTCCTTGTACAATCATCTCCATATCATCAGAATATCCCAATGCACAAGAAACTTAGCAGTTTAAAGACACCAGGTGCAATTTAAATTAATTTAACTTCAACTAATTTCCTATCAACATAAAAATGTATCCGGTTGCAGAATAATGTTCCAGACAATCTGAAATGCATCGTTCTGTATAAATGTGCGTACACCTACTTATGTATTTTAAGCGACGTAGTTTCTGATTTATCTGTTTGCCTCGTGGTCTTCATTACTTGGAATTGGAATCCTCACTGCTGTTGAACACGTTGCGTAATTTAATTTATATTTTTGATAAAACTGATTTATTATTTTCTCATCATATTCTTTTATAGCTAGCTAATACAATGACTTTTCAGTTATCATTCGAAACGTTCAGAATTAATTATTTATGCAAATATTTGTTTCAAAATAATATTTGCCAGCAAACAATGAATTAATTGTGTGCTATTTTATGGAATCCATGTGCTGCACATTCGCATTCATCAGACCAGATAAGAAGTTCAAATTCGGTGAAATGAGAAGCGGTCATTTCTTCCTAATTAACGCTGATAATTTTTCAACAAATCAAATTATATTTATTTTTTATTTTATAAATATACTGTGTTAAATAGAAACCTAGATTCACCTAAGGCAGAGTTATTAGTAACTGAATCCGCGGTGAATGAAAATTGTTTTCAATTCAATCTTTGTTGGTTCAACATTACATGTCCCAAGGTTCAGAACTAAATTCAGTTCGACGCAACTTGGTTTGGAAAATGGAACACCTTGTATACATATAGCAAGGATATTAAAATGTTACTGTATAAGTTATCATAATTACAACTATTTTATCTTGAATCTTGAAGAAATTGCAAGTATTTTATGAAAACATTTATGATATACGTATATATATGTTTTTTTAGTGCGAGAGAGTTCATTATTTCCGTTGGTGTTGCACTTTCGAAAAAAAGTGCGCACGTTTTAAAAATATTTTATATAATACAGAGTGTCTCAGAAAAGCGAGTCAATATCAAAGTGCATTTTTTTAAATAATATTAAACATTTTTCATTAGCTCATGGAACGCAGCTTGAGATGCTGCATTCTCATTTCAAACGATTGTTCGAAAGTTCAACGCCAACGGAAATAATGGCCTCTCTCGCACTAAAAAAAACCCTGTATGTCCAAAGTTTCTGCGGAAATATCAATGACTCACTTAAGGCTAAGTTAGTTCATATAAGGAAATTGAAATACGATTATTCTTGACCTGCATTTGGTTTGTGTAAGTGAGTCATTTATAAATGGATATAGAAAAGCTGTAAACTTGAATTGAAAAAAACTTTATACGCTACTTCAAATCTGAACATAAATCAAGTAGAGGATAAGACATAAGTCATATTCCAGATCCAGACAATTTTACGCGTTTCCAGATAAAAACAATATCTGAACTGCCAATTGAGCCAATGCGTGTTTAAACATTCTCAAAAATTGATTTCCTTTTCTTTATTGCATGCACACAACTAAAGCCGAAAAATATAATTAAATAACGCAAATTCATCCTATTGACGCAAATTACCAACTGTTGAACTAAATAGTGCGAAATTTGCTTGGCTCGCCCCATATGTTGTACGACTTTAATGCGAATCAAAACAGATCGCAGTTCAAGCCATTACCTATGACATAACATATATAAGTGGAACTGTAAAGAACTGGGAACCAGTCAATCGAGCTATTAGCCTGTTTTATCTGCTCAGAATGAAAGAATTGCAGTCGCTCACGTTACAAAATATCGAGAACGTTTTCCGAACTCCCAGATCGTTTTCAAGTGAAGACAAATTTGAATTGTCCAATGGAGATCATCAGGAAGAGGTCGGTTTTCTTGAGGTCAACGACGAAGGAATTCTTCACCAGTATGTGCTAGTGAAAGTTTCTGAATGGGATAAGGCAGACCCTTTGAGCTCGTCAATAGTCCAGCCGCAATTTCTTATTGAAGATAAAAATGGGGAAAAGTTTGGAGCTTTTGAAAAGAACCATCTGAGTAAACTGGAGCCAGCAGATGCCAACAATTTAGTTCAATTGAAAGTGATTTTGAAGAATCTTGCTAAAATCCAAGCCAAATGTTGCTCAGTCAACGAAGTTAATAATGATCACAGTGAGTATATTTTGAAGGATGTTGCTCAACAAGTCACAGCATTTAGTCCTTTCAAAAAAATTCAACAAACAAAAATTGATTTTGCTCTGGAAACTCTTCAGTATGCTGCCAAGAAGTTATCCAAGGCGCTGAATTTGGTAGTGCAGAGTCAATGGTGTCCGAACAACATTTACATCAGTTCAGATAACAGCAATGTTGTGTTCCTTCAAACTAGCTCCGGACTGTTACTTCCTCCATCCTACGATGCAGTTTTTCTGATTTTTTCATTGAGCAACGAGAAATTTCGTCAGTACCACTTTGAAGATTTGATCAAATATTATTTTCAAGCGCTAGCGCAAGCCCTAAAACGTGAAAACTCAGCGCTCGAAGATAAAATAACTGAAGCATATATTGAAACACAGACCAGCGTTCTCCTGCCAATTGTAAAACTTGCTTTAATTCAGACAATTCAAGATCAAAAGTCGGAACAATTTAAGGAACTTGCGGCGAATTTGGGAAAATATTTAGAGTTTTCTCATGTAAACCAAGAAGATATTTATCATGTTATCAAGGCGAAACTATCCAGCAGTGACTACGATTTGCTCAACTATTCGCTGGAGCGATTGAGTGAAACCAACGGCCATTTAGGAGATTATTTTCACGTACAAATTGCGGTTCGATTTCAAAACAAGGAAGAAAATATCCGACTGTTTGCAAAAATTCTATTGGCCAGTTCTGAAGCATTTACAGAGCTAATTGAGTCTGGCGTTGCTGAAAGAGAATCGTTCTTCTACAGCACGCTGCAAGATTTATACATAAAATTTGGCCTACAAGACCTAATAGAGTTTGCGCCTAAATGTTACATGTGTGGAGACAGAGGTATCATTCTAGACGATCTGAGTATCATGGGATTCAAAACTCTTACTCCAAATACAGTCATAAATATCGACGGACTTGAAGTTATTTTGGACCAACTTGCGAAATTTCATGTTAGCTCTCTTATTCTGGAAGAACGGTTATCCGAAGAAGCAGGCGAGGTTGTCAGGTTTGATGGCCAGTATCCAGGAATGTTTAATGAAACCATTTTCGTGCATACTGGATCAATGGCGGAATGGATGAAAAATCGATTTAACTCTATTTTTATTCTACTCGAAAAATTACCCGAATTGAAAAACAGCGTTGGACTAACAGACCAGCAGATTCGAAGCAGGCTAGAGAACATTAGAACTGGTTTATATAAAAATATTGAATCATCAAAATCGTTACGGAATGTCATCAATCATGGAGACATGCACGTTGGTAACATGCTTTTTAAAATAGAAGACGACAACTCGGTATCAGACGGAAAACTCATTGACTTCCAAATACTAAGGTATCTGCCACCTGCCATGGAATCGCAATTCTTTGTTAAACTTGCTTCGAATAAAGAAACCAGAGACAAATACCAGAAGGCACTACAAGATAGATACTATGGCAATTTGGCTAGCCATATGAAGAGATTCGACTTGAATCCAGAGGCTATTTATTCCAGAAAAGATTTCGATGAGGACCTAAGGAATACCAAACATTCAGCATCATTACTGGCATATTTCTATGGATGCTTTATCCTTTCTGATCCCAAATTCAGGGAAGAAATCATACAGGATCCCGATAAGACGAACTACTACTTAGTGACCCACCAGGATGAATTTTTCGACGTAGCCCTGCAAGATGAGAATTTTAAGGGACGAATTACTGGAATACTTCAAGATCTGCTCGATTGCATAAAAACCGAGTCTTAAATTAAAGTAAATTAAGTACATTTACTAAGTAGGTAATCCGGGTGTTGGGTTTAATTAACTCTCAGTAAAGTACTGAAAATGTATTATAGAACTTTCCAAAAAATATTTGTTAGGTTTACTATTTAAGCGCATTTTAAGTGTAAGGTCCAAAGTGCAAATATACTTTTTTAATTTGTTTGTTGATCAGTTTTTTTCCATACCCACCTTCTACCTGCAAACCTACACTTTATGTCCGTCTATGTAGATTTTTATGTATTCAAGCAAGTTGGCAAAAAAAATCAGTCAATCTTTCATGGTTGTTCAGTTACTAGGCAAGGGTTTGCTTTCATGCCATCTTACAGATGGGTTTCAAATAAAATTAAAATTTTCAGTTTAAGAAAATGCCTTTGCCAAGAATAGTGTCAGTGTTTCGCTATAAAGCTTTTCTCGGACATAAATAAAAAAATTTGCATTTTATTCTGCGGCCCAAATTAATACATGTAACAGTCATTTTAGGCAAAAAGTCCAATTTGCCATAGTTAGAAAGTTTGGTTCATTGCTGGGTAATGGGGAGGTGAATCGAGTTTTTCCAGTTGTGCACTGAAACTTACTGTTCTTCGGGAAAAATAAACCTTATGTTTTGCTCGTTAGTCATCAATGTTTAGGTCGGAGGAAAATACCAGTGAGCAAACCCAGAGGAAACAACGACAGTTTGTGCATTTTCTTGTCTTCGGAAAAGGATAACATTTTTCAAATCTTGGTTAGAAGGCAGAGTTCTGATTTTTAGCCTACAAAAACCCAAAACAATTTCCAGTTTTTTCAGTTTCCAAAGTTTACCAGTCGCCGAATTGGAAACTTAATGAGAAGCCAAAACGGAGACGCGATAATTCGCATTAAAGAACAAAACTATGAACATACAGCTTGACCAAATTTACAATTTGAATATTTCTAACTCTAATATTCTCTAAGTTTGAACTAACTAAAGTTGGATAATTTGGAAAATTGTCAAAATACTATGTGCGCAAATAATCCTGCGGAATACGCATCTGAGATTTGGCCACGATTCCATCAATTCCCGATTTAGCTATTGAAAAATGTTTGCAGAAGTTCAAAGTCCCGAATTGATTATAGGAAAATTTTTGAAGTAGTTAAAACCTCCAAATTAAGTATGAGAAAATTTTAGAAGTAGTTAAAACCCCGATGTAGCTGTTAAAAAATTTAGGAACTAGTTAAAAATCCTAATTTAGCTACTGAAAAATTTGAGAAGTAAATAAAAATATCAAATTAATTCCTGAAAAATCTTCGAAGTAGTTAAAAAAATGTTTGCAACTAAATAAAAATTTCCATTTAATTATGGGAAAATTTAGAAGTACATAATTAAAATATCCAATTTAAATATTGAAAAATGTTAGAAGTAATTAAAAATCCCAATTAGTTACCTTAGGATTTTGGAACTAGTAAAAAGTTCCGAAATAATTCTAACTTTAAAATAAACAGATAACTTTGTTTAGTATAAATTAACGAATCATACATTATTTTGTCATTCATATCTATAATCAAATGGGAATGTTTTCAAATGTAGCTTAAAGGATCAACAGATTTGCACTTTCTTACACATGTGAAAAAAATAATATTTGATAGAGAGTTTTAAAACAATTGAACCTGAACGCGACCGAATACTTCAGGTTCTTCAGAAGTTCAACAAAATTTTACTAATTAACAACAAGAATTAATTCAAATAGGGTGAAAGTGCATGTGAAGATTGTTTAACAGCTGAAATTGATTTAAAGTCAATTTACTGATTGAGGCAATACGCTCTATTAAAAATCTAAATATCAAGGGGAAAACTGACTATTTAGTCAAAAACATTACGAAACTCATTTTAGACAACTTTTGAAGCACATGGTAAAAAATGTGCTTCATCGAGCTGACATCAAGCTATTTTGAATCTGTTTTTATTGGATAAAAAATTGGCCTGGAATCGAGAGAATGTGTACATAAGCAGAAAGAACAAAAATATGATGTCTCTTCAAAATCATAATTAATAACTACTTTCACTATTTTCCTATTAACAGTTAAGGATCTTCAGCAACATTATTTAAAAGAATTAGTGAACGTTGCTGTTCAGGCTCTAATCGGTGTTTTAAGCCAAATCAAATGAAGCACATGCCGATAAATAGACAAATATTCTTCTGGCACGCCCAAATATTGCAGTAAGGAGACAATTGTTGCACAATTATTGGAAGAATATTGGTTCCTTGTTCATGCAGTACAGACAGAAAAATTTTATCTTGAAGATGCTTATCCAGAAATTAACTGCGGTCAATTTTTACTTCACGAGAACTTTGAGTTAAAGCAATTACCATCGAGAAAACTGTTCATCACAATCTATAAATTATAAGCCAATTTTCATGATGAAGTTGTCACCAATTTATTTACTAGTTGCAAATAAATAATTTTCCTGTTTATTTATTCAATACAGACTATTGCAGATCCAATTCTTTACCCTTTTCAATTATGCAGTGATTTCGGCATTTCTTAATACTCTAATTTTCGTTTCATGTAGAAGAATCACGGTAACTTAACAAGTTTTATTTGCAACTATTTTTACTTACGATTTTTGTTAGCTTTCTACTCTTCGTTTTTAAATGTAGCGACGTTTACTTAATCAAAAAGCTGATTACTGAGCATTATTTCCTATAGAACCGTGAGCCACTAATCAAATATAATTTGCTACACTAGCAGTATAATTTTGTTAACGACAACATAAGTACTATGTAGTTATTTTAACAAAGTTCGCCAGTCATAAATAGTGATTAACCAAATATGTACAAAGTAGTTGCAGTTGTAGATATGGAGCTGCTTTGGAAACAATTGTTCAAACACAGGAGAAAATGTGAACAATAAGTTTTCGACTTTTTTTAATTTCTGTAATTTCTTACGTGCATTTACATTTTCAAACAAAGTAACTGACACCGCTGAAATTCGAAGCTATCAACCGATGTATACTGAACAATGTTTCCCACTCGATTGAAGAATAATCGAGAGAAAATTCGCTATTGTAATAAAATATAATATATTTTGGTGCATCTAAAGCAATATAACTTAATAAATGCACATTGAAAAAAATTCTGATTTTTATTTAAAAAATGATTCCATCTAAACCATAAGGCTTAAAGGAACGAACCAGCAAAAGGACAAAGAAAACAAGAATCTACATAACTTTTGGGATTAACTTTAGGGTTTAGGAAATAGCATCCAAACAGTTTGAATTATTAACGTGCAATTCTTGTAGCAAAGATATGTTTCATTTCAAGCCCAGCAGAAAACAGCAAATTTGCTTGTTGGAACGACCATAAGTATTTGCAAATGACTGTCCGGTCACCTTGCTCTAAACAACTAAAGGAAGCAAAATTTTCTTTAAAATAATCAATCCAAAATACATATTTATACACTCCACTAGTACTAGACCGCAAAATTTTCTTGGCTCACCCAATACATTGTACCGCACCAATGTAAATAGAAATAGATCGTTGTTAAAGTAATTACCTACCACATAACATATATAAATTAAAGTGCAAGGAACTTGAAACTAGTCAATCGAGATAATAGTTCGCAGACTCTTCTCAGAATGAAAGATTTCCAAACGCTTACGTTCCAAAATATCGACAACGTTTTTCGCGGTTCAAGATCGGTTTCACGGGAAGAACAATTGGCATTTTTCAGCGAAGGTGAGCAAGATCTGACATCTTGCTCATCTTCTCTTGAAGTGAAAGACGACGGAATTTTGCATCAGTACGTGCTAGTGAAAGTTCTGGACTGGGATAAGGCAGCTCCTTTAAGCCCGTCAATAATCCAACCGCAGTTTATTATTGAGGCTAAAAATGGAGAAAAATATGGAGCTTTCGGAAAACTTCACCTGAATAAAGTGGAGCCTGCTGATACCAGCAATCTGCGTCAGTTGAAGGTGATTTTGAAGAATCTTGCAAAAACTCAAGCCAAATATTGCTCAGTCAACGAAGTTGACAATACTCACATTGAGTATATTCTGGAAAATGTTGCCAAACAAGTTACATCATTGAGTCATTTCCAAGACATTAACCAAACCGAAATTGACACTGCCCTAGAAAATCTTCAAAGAACCGCCGATAAGTTAGCCAAGACATTGAACTTGGTTGTACAAAGCCAATGGTTCTCGAACAATATTTACATCAGCTCGGATAACAGCAATGTTGTGTTTCTTCAAACCAGCTCCGGACAGTTACTTTCTCCAGCTTACGATGCTGTGTTCCTGATATTTTCATTGAGCAATGAAAAATTTAGGCAGGACCACTTTGAAGATTTGATGGATTACTATTTCCAGTCACTAGCGCAAGCTCTAAGATGTGAAAGCTCCGAACTCGCAGATAAAATAACTGAAGAATACATTGAATCACAGATCAACGTTCTTCTGCCAATTGTAAAACTGGCTTTGATTAGCAATATTGTGCACGATGAGAATTCGGAACGATTTAAGGAACTTGCCACCAATTTAAAAAGGTATTTGAAATTTTATCATTTACACCAAGAGGATATTTACCATGCCATTAAGGTGAAACTATCAAGCACTGACTACGACTTGCTAAACTATTCCCTTGAACGGTTGGGTGAAAGTAATGGCCATTTAGGAGACTATTTCAATGTGAAAGTTGCGGTTCAATTCCAAAATAGAGAAGAAAATTTCCAGCTGTTTGCAAAGATTATATTTGCCGAGAGTGAAGCTCTGAGTGAAATTATCGATTCTGGTATAGCAGAAAAGGAAACTTTCTTCTATAGAACACTTCATGACTTAAGCAAACTACATGGACTTCACGAGATAATGGATTTCGCTCCTAAATGTTACATGTGTGGGTTTAGAGGCTTAATTCTCGACGATCTAAGCAGTATGGGGTACAGAGCGTTAGCACCAAATGCCCTTATAAACTTCGAGGAATTTCAAACTGTTTTAGATCAGCTTGCTAAATTTCACGCAACCAGTGTCATCCTAGAAGAGCGACTGTCCGAAAAAGCGGGCCACAGTGTAAGATTTGATTGCCAATATCCGCAAATGTTCAACGAAAACATTATCATGCAGACTGGATCAATGGGTGAATGGATGAATAACAGATTCAAGTCAATTTTTGTGCTGCTCGAAAAAATGTCTGAATTTAAAAAAGACCTTGGTTTCACAGACAAAGAAATTGAAGAGAGGCTTCAAAATATTAGAACTCGCTTATTCAAAGACCTTCAATCTTCAACATCTTTACGGAATTTTATCAACCATGGAGATATGTACGTGAGCAACATGCTGTTCAAAATGGGCGGGGACAGCTCAATATTAGATGGAAAACTCATTGACTTCCAAATGCTCAGGTACCTCCCTCCTGCTCTCGAGGTGCAATTTTTCATTACAGTAGCTGCGAGCAAAGAAACCAGATACAAATACGAGAAAGTGCTACAGTACACATACTACGAAAGCTTGTCTAAGTATTTGAAGAAATTCCAGTTAGATCCGGAAGCAATTTACTCGAGAAAACACTACGAGGAAGACTTACGAAATACGAAAGCTTCCGCGTTATTAGTGGGGTACTTTTACGCGTGTTTCGTTTCAATTGATCCCGATTTTAAAAAGGAAATTATGCACGATATTGAAAAGATAAACTATTATTTAGTGAACCACCATGATAAATATTTTGACGTAGTCTTGCAAAATGAAACGTATAAGCAACAAATTGCTGGCATCCTCGAAAGTCTTGTAGATTGCATTAAAGGTGATTCTTAATAAGAGTGTTGCTAATTATCTTGTTAAGTATTAACTATAGTTTTTACGTAGGTAGTATTAAGATTTTGATTTAAATTAACTCACAGAATCACATCCAAATTGAATAGGTAATATTTATTTATTACTTACATAGTTTAAATGCAGGCTTAAATGCTTTAGGTGTAAATAAATTGTTAACTGTTGTACGTATTTTTATTTATAAACTCTATCGAATATTATAACTTTTACTTATCTGGAATCTGACAGGTGAATTGGTTTAGGAGGTGCTAATTGCTTTCTATTGAAAACATACAAGATGTTCGATAAATATACCTACAAACTCTTAGGGGTGGTAAGAAATCTCAACGCAAACATTTTTGCTGCATAAACATATACCCAAAAATGCAGAGATTTCGAGTGGCAGGGTGACGAAATTAGAAAATTAAATCTGCTTTTCCGTTCAGATTCATCCACTTCGGAGTTCCAGACCATCACGCAGACTTTCTTAATGGCGCGCCACGGAGGTTCTGATAAAGTTCTTGTTCGCTTTAGGAACTTGCTTCTTCCATTAGTTTTTTTCTTATCTGCCAATCTTGCCCAGTATTTGCAAGAGAATTAATCAGTAATTTTTAATACTTTGCCGAAGCAGCACAAAGCATTAAAGAAAATGTAAATACAAATTTTACTACTTTGTGCCTCGGAGTCTGCGTTTGCGGACAGATATTTACTAAACAAAAACTTCACGTGCCCTAAAAGTTCGTTGAAAAATTTATCAACACCCTGCATATACCTTAAGAGATAACAAAGTTTGCAAATTCAAAGCATCTTGGAGTTCGGAGACTTAAGAATTAAAAATTTAGAAGAAAAATACTTTCGAACTTCAATTGAGGTCTGCTTGTAACAAAATACGCTTTTCTCGCAAAAGATGTTGACTTCGAAAAATCTCACTTGTATTTACAGAGTTTTATTTTCCAAGAAAGATGTTTAAACATTTCGAGTTCAAACAGAACATTGGGAATGCTTTTCCATGGATTTCAGTTTTAAGTATTTTGTACTACTACGTCTATGAAGTTTTATGATACAAAAAGTAACAGCTTGATGATTATCCGACTATCGTAAAGCAATTAACCATAATAGGATAGTTAACTCTAAGAAGAAAACTTAATCAGCATGAACGGTTATAAATGCTGAAAGAAATAGATTGAAATGATAGTTAATTATCCTTAAACCGTAAAAGTAAATTATACAGTAATTGATGTCTCAAAAAGAATAGCGCAAATTTTCGCGAAACTGTTGAATCTGTCTCCCGCATCTCAGCATGACCTCAAGCTTGAGGACGACAACTATCCCACATTAGTTCTAAATTCAAGAAGGCGAAGTCAATGGGAAGGATTAAATGAGATGGAATTGGTGATAAATTTTCCTACCAAAACGTCGGCAAATGTAAAGATGTAGTCCATTGTTGGAATCAGGGAAACATACAGGGTGGTTTTTTAGTGCGATAGAGTCCATTATTTCCGATGGTGTTGAAAATTTTTCGACTGTTCATATAAAAGTGTTTGACGCACAAAGTGCGCAGATTTAAAAATATCTTATATGATGCAGAGTGTCTCAGAAAAGCGAGGCAAGATCAAAGTGTATTTTTTTTAAATAGAACTACCCATTTTTCTTTAGCTCGTGGAATGCAGCTTGAAATTCTGCAAATGCACCGTAAACTGTTTTTTTCTTACTTGCGACGTTGGCAGATTATCGCCATTTTAGTAAAATTTAGCTTAAAAACATAATATCTAAGAATTCATTGTAGAAGCAAAAAAAGCAGATAAAGACACAAATAAATACGTCTTTCCAATCACCACAGATCCGTGAAGAATTCGATTTGAACCAAAATATCAATACATTGTACAGGGTGCTAAAAATGTGGACTTCAATCTAAAGTTGATACATTTTGTAAGGTGGATATGGAAGTCAATAAATAAGCCTAATTATATCAAGGAAATAATGTGGTATTTCCATGATGGAGCTCCAGTTCACCATACAGCTCAAATTCATGAGTACCTAAATAATTAATTTCTTGAGAAGTGCATAGGCAGAGGTAGGCCTGTTTAGTGGCCACCTCTCACCCGATTTGACACAAATGGATTTATTTTTCTGAGCTTACGTCAAAAACAAAATTTATAAATTAACTCCAACTGCAAAAGATGACATGAAGGACCGAATTACAACTGTTTTTCAAAGCATTAATAATATTGTTTTGAACTGCGTCAGCGATTGATTCCACAAACGTAGATATTAATAGTTGCTTAAATGTTAACGGAAATCATATTTTTTTTTTATTTTTTTTTATTTATTTATTTTGATTTTATCTACCATCATTACATATTTTATATTCTTACTTCTATATTCATACCTAAAGAATTTAAGGAAAATTAACTTATACTTAGAATAAAATTAGTGCAGATGGGCGGATAAAATAAAAGGCCAAAAATACCTAGATGTAGGAACATCTGTATGTGTTGATTTCACCATCTTAGACTATTGCACTAATGTTGAAAACATCGATATGCAAGCATAGTCAAAATTTGGCAACCGTAACTAGAAAAGTTGTGTGAGCTTACATGATGACATCAAACTTTTCACAATTTTTTATCACATACTTTTTACATTGCTTAGTGAAACTAGACTGATTCACAATACTCCTAATTTCCATTGGTAACAGATTATAAAATTTAATTCCTATGTAATTTATAAATTTTAGATTAAATGTGGTTTTAGGTTGAGGTAATTGCAGAGCTTTGTTCTTATTCGATCTAGTATAGTGGGAATGTTTTTGTACAAAATTTTTAAATTTACTATTTTTATGAATAAAGGAACAAGAAAGGATTATGTATAAACTTTTTACATTATATAAATCATCTTGGTATAACAACTTTGTCCGATACATTCTGTCTTTTTTTAGCATGACTTTAATTATATAAT